TGGTAGAGTATAGGAAGCGTACTTCGAGGTTCGGGTAGTTCTGGTTTATGTAGGTCATCATTGACATCATAGGGCTGTGGGGTGTTAGCGGGCGAGGCGTGCGACTTGGTCACGGCAGAGCTGGACGCACTTAATTCCGACACCTCCAGCGATGAAGATGGCGCGCTTAATCTTTTTCATGTCCAGACACGGGGGAGGCCACACGAAGCTTCCGCCTACACGCACAGTGACCTCCTTGCCTAGTATGTCCTCCGCCGGCTGCCACAGCCATGCTGCCGGCGGGTTATTAGGGCTCTTCTGGACAGCTAGCTCGAAGTAGGGAACAAAATCGGGATCCGACCGCGGCAGGGCTTCGGAGGGCGACGAGGTAATGGTGAAGCCACCGGCCTTGTCTACATCGGGCACAAAGACATCAAGCCATTGGCCGGGGAGGAACTGACTTATCCATCAGCGCATGTCGCGAGCGAGATGGAGATCGTCATACGTTGAAGCCGTCCTTTTCCTTGATTTCGAATTTAAAGCGCTTGATCCGGTCGTTGACGGGCGTGACTTTGGCGACGGTGGCCGTGTGCAGGTCGTTCTCTCGCGGTTCCGTCGCGGTGCGCTCTTGGTGGCTTAGGATCGCTTTTGCTGAGCGAGCTTGTGGCATGCTGCTCAGCATGCTTCTCTGCGAGGAGAGTCGTCGCTGAAATGAGTGATGGGACAAGAGTCGACGGGCAGGAAGGCTCATAGCAAGAAGAAAGTATCTTACCACGAGGAAAATGTAAGTGGGGACACCAGGTAGAGGGGTCCAATGCGTTATGCAGGATGATCCACTGGGCGGGAGCTTGGACGACAGCCGTTAAGGCTAGCTGACTTCACCCTCACCACGGCATCGGCATCATCTCGGGCCTCCAAATATAGCCAAGTGGCATTGGCCATGAGCCTCCGAGAATGGGCTGACTGCCATCGTGTCGCACGCTGAGATGTCGCGTTTGACATGTGCGAGTGCATGGTGTGTACTAAGCAAGCTATGACGCGTGCGGGAGCCGCGGCTGTCACCGGAGAGCTGAACACCATAAGACAGCAATTGCTCTGCATCCTCCTTTGACACGAAACCACCTGCACGTGCACTGCCCAACGCACGACATATCGTCACTGACTCTACTGCTCAGCCGACAAACACCTCCAATATCTCCAACTCTTACCTGATTCAGGCACAATGTCCGTCGAGGAAGGCACCCATGCCTTGGCTGATGGCAAGCAGCTATATACGAAGACATTCAAGGTATGGTGGAGCCATAGCAATAAGATCTGCATTAACGCAATGAGCAGACGGACGGTCCGGCCAAAGCCCGACTTGTGTTCATCCACGGATTCTCAGACGTACGGCTCCCGTGGACGCAATACTGAATGCATGACTAACGTTGCCTCTAGCACGGTGAGACCATCTAGCTACATGAATAACTCCCTTCTGACACAGGTCAAGTCAACACGTACGGCGACTTCTTCCCCCATCTAGCGTCTAGAGGCATTGAAGTTTATACGTTCGACCAGAGGTGCGCACGTGCACTGCTTCCAATATTCACTACTGACAAGGCACAGAGGATGGGGCCGATCTGTAGCAAAACACGCCGAGCGAGGAGACACGGGCCCGACTACCCAGGTGCTGGACGACATTACCTCCTTCATCAAGACATTGATCCCGAGCCCTGTCCCGCTCTTCATGATGGGGCATTCCATGGGTGGCGGTGAAACGCTCTGCTATGCCGCACAGGGTCCGGAGGAGGTGCTCAAGCACATTCGCGGCTTCCTCTTGGAGTCGCCCTTTATCGACTTTGACCCCAAGTCCAAGCCATCACCCATCACGGTCTTCTTCGGTAGGGTCGCTGGAAAGCTCATGGCAAAGCGTCAGTTGACCAACAAACTGGATCCAAAACTCATCTCGCGAGACCCGGAGGTCTGCAAGCGGTTCGATGAAGACGAGCTCTGCCACGATACCGGCACACTCGAGGGGCTCGCGGGATTGCTCGATCGAACCAATGCTTTGTCCAGTGGGAAGATCATCATACCTGACAATGTCGGAGAGGGTGGCGTGACGAGGATCTGGATTGCTCACGGCGAGCAGGACGGCATCACCAGCTACCATGCCTCGAAACGCCTGTTCGATGCCTTGCAAGTCAAGGACAAGGAATTCAAATCGTACGCCGGACACTTTCATCGCTGTAAGTACATGTCTGACCCAGTCCATGGTATTGGCACTAACCTTGTCAGTACACGACGAGCCTAGTCCTGATAAAGATGTATTCCGGGACGACGTCGTAAACTGGGTACTGGCTCGCGTGACGGACCCTGTGGGTGACGATAGTGCGAAGCCAAGGCTATGAATCTGTGTAGAAGCTCTCTAGAATAGGAAACAAGCGCGCTGGCAACGTAATCACGATACGATTATCTTTAGGTGTGCATTGCTTGGCCCAACTCGTACGTACACGCGCGGCTCCCGAGGCGCAAGGCGGAGGATCTCCAGGCCCATGTCCCTGCAGGAAATTGACGACGGCACGGGAGTGATGCATGAAGGTTGCAATGACATAGTGTGCGGTTGTTAAATTTGGCAACGTTCGTGATCGGTAGCAGTAGAAGTCATCACAATGGATTGGACTATCCCTTTTTTTCACCTGTGGCAGGTAGAGCATGAGATTTCTTACAGATTGAAAATATACACCGGCATGTTGTTCTCCTGGTCTTGCCGTTAGAAGTGCGGTAGTGTGCATCTTGCCTGAGTGGGACAGATGGTGGCGCCCCCACAATTGCCGTGTGTTGACGCAAAAGGCGCCATGAGAGGCCAGGCTCGAGGGCCGATAGCAACCGCGAAAGAGGCTCCAAATTGTCTTGGAAGTATTCGCAGCGAGTGGCATTGAGGCATCCCGCAGTACTGAGAGGCGCAACGGCTGCCACCACATCCCATGTTACTGCGCACCGCCTGCAGCAATGGACATGGCCTGCGTGTCCAGTTTAGCCAGCGTGCACGCGTCTCACTCCACGAGTCCTCCTCGCAACCCTCGGTGCGACGACACGTCCTATCACGTCACGCCTACAACCCTCCTACCTGCCGCCCCAAATTGCGCGTCCTGTGCACGCAGACGACGACCAAAGGTGCCCAGTACCTCGCCATCCCGTCGCATACAGCGCCTCTCCGCAACTGGTCGACGACCGTCCACCGCAAACCACTCTTTTCCCCTTCCACCATGACGGGCGCCACGCAGAAAAGAGGCCACGCCGGTCATCACCACCATAACCACGACAACACCTTCCTCTTGTCCAAGAACAAGAATGACGCCGGCGTGCGCATTACCAAGATTGGCCTCTACGTCAACCTGGGCATGGCTGTCAGCAAGGGCTTCGGAGGCTACGTCTTCAATAGTCAGGGTGAGATGGCTAGGCGCGTTGATACGAACGTCTACTAACGCCTGCCAGCACTCATCGCCGACGCCATCCACAGCCTCACCGACCTCGTGAGCGACATCATGACGCTGGCAACAGTCGGCTGGTCCCTCAAGCCCCCTACGGACCGCTTCCCCAGCGGGTATGGAAAGGTGGAGAGTCTGGGCTCGCTCGGTGTCAGTGGCATATTGCTCGCAGGCGGTTTCTTCATGGGCTGGACCGCGCTGCTGGCCCTCTGCAAGCAATTCTTCCCCGAAGCCGCCGAGGTAGCGGAGCAATGGGGGCTTATACCACACCACCACCACCACGGCATCGACGACCTGGGCCCCAACATTAATGCTATATGGCTTGCTGCTGGCTCAATTGTCATCAAGGAATGGCTCTACAGAGCGAGTAAGGACACCCATAATAACGTAGCAAGTGCCCGCTGACAATCACTCCAGCCCTCAAGATCGCCAAAGAGCGCAAATCGACGGTCCTCGCCTCCAACGCCTACCACCACCGCGTCGACTCCCTTACTGCCTTCGTCGCTCTCCTCCTCATCGCCGGCTCCAACGTCCTCAACAATGCAAAGTGGCTTGACCCTATCGGTGGGCTTGTCATCTCGCTCATGGTTGTCCAAGCTGGTTGGGGAAACACCAAGCAAGCGCTACTCGAACTGGCAGACGTCGGCGTGGACCAGGAGATGAAGGACAACGTGCGGAAAGCAGCGACTGATGCTGTCAAGGATGTCACTACCGCATCAGAGCCAGTCAATGTGCGAGCGATTCAGGGTGTCAAAGCTGGCCAGAACTACCTCATGGACATCGAGATTGGCGTCTCTGGCACCTGGACTGTTGACCAGACACGCGACATCGAGAACGCAATCCGGGACCGCGTCGGTGTCAATGTGCGCGGCGTGAAAAAGGTGCGCGTGCGCTTTGTAACCAACTCGGCGCAAGCACCAGACTTTCTCGACGAGTTCATCCCTGGCGACTCTGCTGCGGCGGCGAGCCAAAAATCCGAGGCAGAACATGACCACGACCACGACCACGACCACGATCACGATCACGAAACTACCGATGGCACCGCAAGGCGAAGGAAATGATTGGTGTACACCTATAGACAAGCATAGCTGGGCGTTCTGGAGTTGGGCAATGCAACTACCCGGCGGCATATGCGAGACATCGGACACTTGTATATATTCTGAATATCCATCACCTGAATTCAACCCCGGCCCACGCTCTAGACTCGTACTTCCCCACGCTAACGAAATTCCCTAGATGGCATCGGCGTTTGGCCGAGATGCAACTCCCAAAAGTCACAGTTGTACTCACGATGTCTCGGCACGAATTTATCCGCCATCCAATAATCCCGCGCCAAAGTACTGGCGCTTCTGCAGGCACCGCCGGCAAAATTGCCTGTGATGTAGCGCGTCCGTCAATGTGGGTCTTGCGTAAGTGTGCCGTAGCCGTATCGTGGATGTGAGGCAGGGACCTCTAACACTACGAGATATGGTCTGCTTATTTTAGCCATGTCTCGTCACCATAACACCCTAACATTATCCTCACAGCTTGAAACCGCACTGACACACTTCGACCATGGCTGATCAGTTCTTGGGCTTCGATTTGAGCACTCAGCAACTCAAAGGTGCGAATACCCCGCTAGAGCTACCCCACCATCTGGTCTTCCAGCTTGGACTGACGCTGCCGTGTTCTAGGTATCATCGTCGGTTCCGATCTCAAACTTATCCACGAAGCCAAAGTCGATTTCGATGCCGATCTCTCCAAATATGGCATTGAGAAGGGTGTCCTCACAAACCCTGCCGAGGGCGAGGTTTTCGCGCCCGTCGCCCTGTGGCTCGAAGCCATTGATCTTGTCCTGCAGCGATTGAAGGAGCAGGGTGCCGACTTCTCCAAGATCCAGGGTATCTCGGGTGCGGGTATGCAACATGGTACCGTATTCTGGAGCAACGATGCAGAGACACTACTTGGCAGTATGGATGCTGGAAAGACACTGCTCGAGCAGCTGGAAGGCGGTGCCAAGGGCGAGAGGAAGGGTGCCTTCAGCCACCCCTTCAGTCCAAACTGGCAGGACGCAAGTACACAGAAGCAGTGCGAAGCTTTTGATGCGACACTGCAAGAACCTAGGAACCTGGCCCTAGCTACTGGAAGCAGTGCCCATCACGTAAGTTTCCAGCACTCTCCAAGTCTTTGTCCATACTAACACAACAAAGCGCTTCAGTGGCCCTCAGATCCTTCGCTTCCACGACAAATACCCCGAAGCCTACAAAGCGACCGCTCGCATCTCTCTCGTGTCCTCTTTCCTCGCTTCCGTCTTTCTCGGTAAAGTCGCCCCCATCGATATCGGAGACGTATGCGGAGCCAACCTGTGGGACATCAAGAATGGTCGTTGGCATGAGGATCTTCTTGCGCTCGCAGCTGGAGGGAGTGACGGCGTCGAGGACCTCAAGAAGAAGCTCGGAGGTGTTCCGGAAGATGGTGGCTCAAGCTTCGGTACCGTCTCGCCATACTTCAGCAAGCGCTATGGGTTCCCATCGTCGGCTCAGGTCATTGCGTTCACTGGTGACAACCCATCGACCATCCTTGCCCTTCCTCTACGCGCGTCCGACGCCATCGTCTCGCTAGGGACCTCAACAACATTCCTTATGTCTACACCCCAGTATAGGCCCGATCCAGCATACCATTTCATGAACCACCCCACCACAGCAGGCCTCTACATGTTCATGCTCTGCTACAAGAATGGTGGTCTAGCACGCGAGCACATCCGCGACGCCATCAACAAAGCCTCAGGCTCATCCGACAAGTCCTGGGACAAGTTCAATGAGACAGCCCTCACAACTCCTGCACTTGGCCAAGCTCAACCCTCCGACCCTATGCGTCTAGGTCTCTTCTTCCCCCGACCAGAAATCGTACCAAACGTCAAGGCAGGAACATGGCGATTTCTTTCCAAAGATAATCAGCTCTCGCCCATAGCACCAGAAGCTGCCGAAGGCAAGACTGAGGACAAATCTTGGCCCGTTCCTCAAGCCGACGCCCGTGCAATCCTCGAATCCCAGTTCCTGTCATTGAGACTGCGCTCTCAGTCCCTTGTTGAACCCCAGGGCTCTCTCCCCGCGCAACCTCGCAGAATCTACATGGTTGGCGGTGGTGCCGTGAACCCCGCCATCGCCGAACTCGCCGGTCAAGTTCTTGGTGGCTCTGACGGTGTATACAAGCTTGAGATTGGAGGGAATGCTTGCGCTCTCGGAGCCGCGTACAAAGCTGCCTGGGGCGTACAACGTTCATCTCCACAGGAGAAATTTGAGGATTTCCTTGAGGCGCGGTGGAATGAGGAGGGCTTTGTCAAGAAGATCTGTGATGGCTACAGGAAGGGTGTCTTTGAACAGTATGGCGATGCACTCAAGGCTTTCGATGAGGTAGAGAAGGTAGCACTTAGGGAGAAGGGTGAGGCCGAGAAAACGGATGCTACCAAAGAGGCTATGGGGCTGCAGGGTCTGGATAGCCAGAGGTAAGATGGTGGTAGTGTGAAATATTCTGGAATGTCACTTGATTATTTGGGCACAGATCCCTTGAAAGTGAACGTCTTGGCTAATCGACCATCTGGTAACACGATTGTGTTTTTCGTTTGACGGGCATGTGACAGCGCGCCAACGCGTTGGAAGGAACACGCGACACTTCTAAGGTTGACGTAACCTCCAACACTCTAGCTCCACATTATCAAACTTATCACATTTGGAATCTTCTCCACCTGTCGTCAACACCACGGTCATTTGCGCATACCGCTTCACGCGTTGAAACATGTCCGAAGGTACCGAGAACCATATTGTATGCGTTGGTGCCGTCTACATCGACACCATATTGACGTATGTATCAACGCTCTGCAAAAAACCCAAGAGTCAAAAGCTTACTAAATTGCGAGTGTTCAGAGTCCCACACTTCCCCATAGAAGATGAGAAACTACGCGCCAAAGCTCTCACGCGAAGAAGAGGAGGAAACACGGCAAACAGTCTAGAAGTGTTATCGCAGCTGCAACGACACGACCCTGAAGGAGCACATCCCAGTCCCACGAGTCTGCATCTACTAGCTGTGCTCCCTGAGGAACAATCTGCGGCTTCTCAATTCATATCCACATCGCTTCCTGCGGTAAACATATCCGACGTGAGCCTCTTCCGCAAACAGCACCAAGAAGCCGCGTCAAGCTACATCATCCAAAGCGAAGAGAAGCGTTCCCGCACAATCGTCAGCATCAACCAGCTCCCCGAGATGCAAGCCGAAGAATTCATACACCAAGTCCGTAAATTCACTACAAAACAGGGACAGACATGGAAGAAAGCGTGGTTCCATTTCGAAGGCCGTGTCCCAGAGATCACACTGCATTGTGTCCGCTTCCTCCGCGAAACATACCCTCATTTCAAGATTAGCGTCGAGTGCGAGAAGCCTGAGCGGACGGGTATGGCTGAGGTGGCGCAGTACGCAGATGTAGTCTTTTACTCGAAATTGTGGGCCGTGAAGAATGGGTATGAGGATGCGAGAAGCTTTCTTGAAGCCAGACGCGATGAAACGAGAGATGGGGCTCTACTGTGTTGTACATGGGGTTCTGGAGGTGCTACGGCGGTTGAAAAGGGGGGCGAGGATGTTTGGGCGGATGTTGAGGCGTGGCAGGCAGATGGGGAGGAGGGGGCAAAGGTTGTGGATACGATTGGTGCTGGGGATACTTTTATTGCGGGGATGCTTTTTGCGGTTAATGAGCATGAGGAGTGGGGGCTGCAAAGGAAATTGGAGTTTGCGAATGAGTTGGCTGGGAGGAAGGTGCTGCAGGAGGGGTTTGGGGGTCTGGGGAGGAGGATGTGGTAGCTGGTGAGAGTTATTGCATTACTTGTTCTGCAATTGCTCTTGCTTATACAATGAGTATACGGACTATTCTCACTAGATACATAGGTATGCAAAAAGTAAACCTACGCATAGCAACGGGCGCTTCGAGGCACGTACTTGCAAGCGTCTGCGCTTTTGGTGTGGAGTGTTCCCGGAAAGCGACTTGCAGGAATCAGTCCGAATCGCTCGAGACAGATCATGACGCTTCCAAATCATGGGTTGGGAAAATGCGTTCGAGACCTGATCTTCAAATCAGTTCCAATCATTGGTCAATTGGGGCGGACTAGATCGACGACGCAGGCGGGAAAGGGTCTCCCGGAGCAGCTTCCGACCACCCATCGCACGCGTGCATCTCAAAGAACTGGAATCATTGACGCGCTACCCCGCATTATCTTGAGCTATTGTGCCCGGAATGAAAGATGGAGAAGAGCAGATATCGGCGAGGCGGAAGCTAGATGCAGTTGCGGGGGTGACCACGGGGACTGTGTTGGTAACTTAAGAAGACCGCCGTCCATGTAGCAGCATGCGGCGAAGCAAGAAGTACCTACACACATAACCAGCAATTCATCAGCATGAGTGGAACGAAGATCGAAACATGCCCCATGGGGTACCACCGAATTCAAAATATCCACAACGGCAAAGTACCAAGTGGCACCGTCAAAGCTGGTGGACAAGACAAGAAGGCTACTGGCACATACATCAAGTGGGATGCGCCAGGTGTTGAGAAAATTCCAGACAATGAGCAAGAGAAGATTAAAGAGGTTTCTGCCCAGTTTAATCGTTTCCAGATGATGAACTTCAATGAGCATATGCACTGTTTGAGGGGCACGCATTTGAAGACTCAGGGTGTAAGTATACCCCGAGGCTTCTCGAGATGAACGTTACTGATGGCATAGGCAGTGCGTTATGGGCAAGTTCACGGTGCACGACAACCTACCTAAACATCTCGCCCAAGGAATGTTCGCAAAGCCTGGTACTTACGATGTAATCATGCGGTACTCGTCTCTAACGCCCAAGATCTTGCCCGACAACCTGGCAGCCCCGCGCGGCATTGGCATGAAGGTCTTTGGCATCGAGGGCGAGAAGCTCTGGGGAGAAGACAAGAAGACGCAAGACTGGACCTTCAACAACTACCCGGTATTGGAGCTGCGTGATCCCCAGACCACATACGACATTGCAGATGCACTGGAGCGAAACTGGAACGACTTGCCTACCTTTGCAGACGAGCAGAGCAAACGCGTTGATGCCGACGTAGCAACACTCGGTGGACAACTGCCAAAACAACACATGGTTGCTATGCCTGAGTACTCACAATCAGCCTACCGCCACGGAGCTTACGTAGCCAAATACGGCGTCTTCCCCAATAGCAAGTTCCAAAAGGACCTTGAGAACACCGAAGTCAAAGACTCAGACCCCATCAATGTCCTCTCGCAGACCCTCCGCACACACCACCTCAATAACACCATAACCTACAGCTTCTGCGCGCAACTGTTGCAGGACCTCACCGAACAGCCCGTCGACGACATCGGCATCGAATGGGATCCCAAGAAATATCCGTTTGAGCAAATCGCTACCATTGAGTTCCCGCCACAGGACTCGTGGCTACCTGAGTTTAGGACGTGGTGGGATGATCGCATCACGGTGAACAGCTGGCATGGGTTGAAGGAGCATCAACCGCTTGGGAGTACCAACCGAATGCGCAGGGTAGTTTACGCCGAGAGTAGGAAGTTGAGGCTGAAGGTTAATGGGTATAAGGAAGAAGATTATGTGGAGCCAGCGGGGCTTGATGATATCCCTGGGAAGGGTGTGGAGGCGCCGCAGTTGGACTTGAAGTATCAGAGTGCTGTTACTACTGCCGAGGTTGCATGATTGAGAAATGCAAGGTAGCTAGATGTAGGTTGTGGAACGGAAGTGCTTTTCTTAGATGTACGTGTGCAAGGTTCCGGACGTATGCACGTTCGCTTGGTGACGTCTGTCTTATGCGTGAACAAGTCTGGAATATCATCGAAGCTGCGAACCTAATGCATCTAGTAATAAGTGCAGTTGGAATCCATGCAGCTTACAGGTAGGAAGTGACAAGGCAGGTGCGACTTCCGCAAGTGGCGGCTCCCCGCACATGCGCATGCTAAGTACCTGCAGCTAACTCACTGGGCCAACAGCAACAACAATAACGATTAGTTCACTCTACAAGAATACATGAACCATATTTCGCTTCGTGCTTGCGAGACTGTGAGTGAGCTACAGCTGTCAAACATGCGAATCCCTTCCTTATCTTTACTGACATGTGGAGCAGTCTACATCTCAACTCTAACCACAGCTGCAAGCATCGTCACCATCTTCCCTCACATCAGAATGTCGTCTAGCGAAAGAAATGTGAGTACTACAAAGTCAAAGAAGAGCTATCTGGTGCTACACGTGTTGTCACTGGACAAGACATACTAACGCGACGAAGGCGTATCCTTACGACAAGCCGCACTCAACGCCCTCGAATGTTACACAACATTACGAGAACAGACTGTGGATGCAGATACAGTACGAAGCATACGTAGATGGGATCGACCTGACAGTATTGCCCTTTGCCAAAGAAGCTATTGCGAGCATCGCTTCGCTAGCAAGTAGCATGGTGAATGTGAAGGAATTTGACTTCTCAACCTCAAAGAGGGTTGATACGCATACACAGTAAGCTCAAATGCTACACAACACAGTGCCAAAGACGCACGTATGTGTGCCGATGTACTGACAAACCCCAATAGCCCCATCCCAGACTGGTTCCGAGCCCTCGAATTGAACGCTGCAGGCCGCGCAACGCCGTCTTGGAACGTATCATCCCACCTCAAATTCATGAGTGAACACCACATCGCTCATTCTGTACTCTGCGTCTCCACACCCCAGGCCAACGCCTTCTTGACTGAAAGGGATGAGGTGCTGAGAAAAAAGAAGACGGTTGCCCTTGCGCGTTTACTCAACTCCTTCACAGCGGAGCTTTGCAGGATTTATCCAGAGAGGGTTAGTTGGTTGGCCATTATGCCGTTACCCCATGTGGAAGAATCGATTACGGAATTGAAGCGCGTGTTTGGAGTGGTGGGGAAAAAGCCAGTGGGTGTCGGTGTGCTAACAAACCACGAGGGAATGTACCCGGGGGACGAGACTTTTGATCCATTGTGGAATTTTCTACAAGAGAGATCCGCAAAGATGGGAAGCGATGGGAGGGAGGTGGTCTTCGTGCATCCAACGGAACCCATCATCAAGCTCGACGATGGTCGATTGATAAACTCTCGACCTTGTGAGTTCTCTTTTCACAAACTCGGGCTCACAAATGACCAAGAGAGCGAGCTGACACTGTGCCACAGCACCCCTTCGCTCCGGTCTCGGAGAATTCTATTTCGAAACCGCGCGCGCCATCTCGAGTCTAACAGCCTCATCCACATTCCTCAAGTTCCCGTCCCTCCACTTCCGCATCTCTCACGGCGCAGGCGCTTTCCCCGATATCTCCGAGCGTTTCCTTCTCGGCTTCCCCAACATCTCGACCGCAGCAAGGGAAGCCTACAAAACGCGCTTTTGGTACGACAGTGCAGGACCAGTTTGGCCAAATCAGGTCAAAGGGCTAACGGAAGGAATGGGTGTTCCAATTAGTCAGATG